CTCAGGCTGGTTTCGAACTCCTGAGCTCAAACAATCCGCCTGCCTCGGCCTCCCAGAGAGCTAGGATTACAGGCGTGAGCCACCACGCCCGGCCTCTTTCTATTCTTTCATCCAAAATAATCATAGGTGAAGACTTTTATTCTTCTCTTATTTCTTCTTTTCCTTATGTGGAAACACACATTAGGCTTCTGATCACATTAGCTTAATCCTTGAATTATCAACTAGGAATCAAAAGTATATTAATTTAACCTATTTTACTGACTTTATGCAGCTTAAAGAACCTCTTCAAAATAGAACCTAGACAGAGAATAAATTATTGGTAATGTTAGCGTATAATAGGTAAGGAATAACTTCACAGTCCAGAGTCAGACAAAAAGTAGCTAGAGTCCCAGTCAAATTCAGACGTGAATATTTGCTAAGCATTTTCTGTTTTGGGCACAAACTTACAACATTGACATTAAAATGTATTTGAAAGTAGTCTTACTTCTTTGTCTCTGTAGTAATCCTCCTTCCCCTATACCACTGGATGTGCCTCCTGGGCAGAGTTATCAACCCCAGTCAGAATCTGCTTCCTCTAATTCGATGGATAAATATCATATACATCACATGTCTGAACCAACTAGACAGGAAAACTTGACATCTCTGAAAAATGACTTGGAAAACCACCTTGAAGATTTTGAGCTGGTGAGTTGTTTCATTTGTATTGTTTAAATTCCATATATTCTCAAGGAAGATGTAGACACAGTTTCCCTTTAGTTAGAGAAAAGGCTAACTTTTAGAATTGCTTCATATCAGGGTCTATTAAGGGGATAACACATCTGGTATGTTTCTCGGTGGAGAAATTAGGGAAAAGGGGAGAAAGACCTGGGTATAAATCCTGACTCTACCACTGACTTGCTGTAGCTTGGCAGACACCTGTGGACAAATCACTTAATTCTGAGTCTTAGTCGCTCTGGCTATAAAATGGACCTGGCAGCCTCACAGGGTTATGGTGAAATAGCATGCGTAAATAATCTTGCCACCCAAAACCATTAACATTTTGGAGTTAGTCTTTCCAGATATTTCGTTCATCTGTAATTTTGTGTGTGAGTGTGTACAGCATCTACATTTTCAGTTTCATTCTTAGCAAGAGAGCGAAAATTGTCTTTGAATAATTTTTCTTAGAAATTTGTCGTCGTTCGTATAAGCAAGCTCTATGTCTCAGTTGAAATCTTTCAAAAATATTTCATTTGTTTACACAACTAAATGAAGTTGTGAGATATAATCACCAAAAGACTTCATATTTTTACCAAAAAGAAAATTGTCTTTTGTGGCTCTTGGCATCTATCTCCGTTGTTTAGAAATATGTGAAGAATTTTCCTGACTCTTACCTCCAAAAAGATTCTTTGATCATCAAAGTATAACCACTATTGTGTCTTTGTTTATCCTGAAAATATAAGAATGGAAGCCTAAGTAAGTTCTGTCTGTGCTATACCTAGACAAGCACATAACGTTGTACTTAAACCCAGCTTTCACATGGGGGGTAGTGGAGGGACATTCTGTCTAGAGTTGGACAGACCTGGCTTCTTCACTTGGGCAAGTGAAGTAACCTTTTAAGGTTTGGTTTTCTCCTCTGTTAATCAAGGAAAATAATAGTCATCTTTCTGTTTGTGGGGCAAAATAGACAACCTAAAGGAATCACTGTTTTCTTCCCTTAGGAAGTAGAACTCCTCATTATCCTAATTAAATCAGAAAAGGGGAGCCTAGGTTTTACAGTCACCAAAGGCAATCAGAGCATTGGTTGTTATGTTCATGATGTCATACAGGATCCAGCCAAAAGTGATGGAAGGCTGAAACCTGGGGACCGACTCATAAAGGTGAGACATTTAAAAGGAATGGAAGATTTGTGCAAACATAGCCAAAGAGCAAGCCAGGGCTGGAAAAGGAAGAAAAAGGATGAATTAATATATTATAACACTGTATTTCTCTGTTTGGTTTATGCTTTCCTTTTCTACCACTGAAGAGTAAAGGCCTTATATAATTAACAGTTTGGAAAATGCTTAAAGTTTCCTTTTTAATTTTAAAGTTCGTTTAATCTCAGTTAAGGCATACAACAAGCTATCTCAGATCTCAGGGACAGAAAGTTTCTTAAATTACTAAAATGATAAATTTCTTAGATTAGCAAAATAATGAAGCATTTATTAGGGGTTTTACATTATTATTTCATTATAATGGCTCGATCATTTTGCCTGCGATTTCCACAATAACGGGGAATACCAATAAATTAGAGACCACTCTTTATTGTGCATCTCATACTTGCTAGTATATATTGTATAAAAAGTTAGGGAAATTATTGTATTTTCTTGACAATTTAGCTTCTCTGTTATAAAAATTATAATCCTAACTTGTCCCTTTCTCATTTTTATAGGTTAATGATACAGACGTTACAAATATGACTCACACAGATGCAGTGAATCTGCTCCGAGCAGCACCCAAGACAGTCAGATTAGTCCTTGGGCGAGTTCTGGAATTACCCAGGATGCCAGTGTTGCCTCATTTGCTACCTGACATTACATTAACATGCAACAAAGAGGAGTTGGGTAATGAAAATTGGCTTTGTGCAGTATAGTTTTCTTGGCTAGAGTAAGTACTCGTATGACTGAGAAAACAAATATTTTGTATTCTTTCAAGGTTTTTCCTTATCTGGAGGTCATGACAGCCTTCATCAAGTGGTATATATTAGTGATATTAATCCAAGGTCAATTGCAGCTACTGAGGGTAATCTCCAGCTATTAGATGTCATCCATTATGTGAATGGAGTCAGCACACGAGGAATGACCTTGGAAGAAGCTAACAGAGCGTTAGACATGTCACTTCCTTCAGTGGTATTGAAAGCAACAAGGTACTCTGCAAGTATTTGTGAGTTTTGTGTGTGTCTGTGTGTGTTTCAGGTTGTTGATTATACTTATGTACTTGTAAAAGATGTCACTGAATTGGTAATTCATAGACTAAACTGGTAGGACTTAGTAAAGTGAGAACAGACTTCCTGGTAGGAGATTCTGAGAACACTAAGTGGATAAGTGTTTGGATACGTGTTTGCAATTAATAGAATGGTTACTACATTTATCAGTTTGGTTGTTTTCCCTTGCAAGAAAAGAACAGAAAGTACAACTTTGTTTAAATAAGAAAGGGGATTTGTTGCTTTATGTTGGACTTTAAAAAGTCTAGAGATAAGGTGGTCATCAGGTAAAATTTGATCAGGGTTCTGACTCCATTTTTTTGCTATTTTCAGTTATTCCCTCCTCCATGTATCAGTTTCCTTTATGGTAGTCAAATGACTGTTTCAGTTTCATGCCTCACACCTACATACTGGACAATTAGAGCACTCTTCAAACAGAAATTTCGCCAGTCGGGAACGTAAATCAGTACAGCCACTGTAGAGAACAGTATGGAGGTTCCTCAAAAAACTAAAAGTAGAATTACCATATGGCCCAGCAATCCCACTGCTAGATGTATGCCCAAAAGAAAGGCAATCAGTATATCCAAGAGATACCTACACTCCCATGTTTATTGCAGCACTATTCACAATAGCCAAGATACGGAATTAACCTAAGTGTCCATCAGTGAGTGAACACAGAAAATGTGGTCCATATACATAATAGAATATTATTCAGCCATTACAAAGAATGAAATCCTGTCATTTGCAACAACTTGGTTGGAATTAGAAGACATTATGTTAAGTGAAATAAGCCAGGCACAGAAAGATAAATTTCGCATGTTCTCACTCACATGTGGGAGATAAAAAGTAAAACAAACTCATGGAGATAGAGAGTAGAATGATAGTTAGTAGAGGCTGGAAACGGTAATGGGGAGAGGGGATTACATGGGGGCGGTTAATGGGTACAAAAATATAATGAGGTAGAATGAATAAGATCTAGTATTTGGCAGCACAATAAGGCAACTGTAGTTAATAATAATTTATTATATATTTTTAAATAACTAAAAGAGTGGAATTGAAATGTTCCTAACACAAAGAAATAATAAATGTTTGAGGTGTTGGATATCTCAGTTACCCTGATTTAGTCATTACATATTGTATGCCTATATCAAAACATCACATGCACCCTGTAAATATATACAACTACTATATACCGCTAATAAGTAGAAAAAAGGAGGGAGGGATCTCACCAGTCACTACTATTAAGGCAAGTATTGTGTGCCAGTTGCCTTAGACCTAAATTAAGGTGAGTCCCTGAGTTGAGGCACAGGAATAAGAATAAATAGATCTCCCGGATTTACAATGGGGTTACATACTGAAAAACCCATCATAAGTTGAAAATATCATAAGTAAAAATGCATTTAAAATACCTAATCGACCAAATACCATAGCTTATTAGCCTACCCTACCTTAAACGTGTTCAGAACACTTACAGTATGCACCCTGCAGCTGGGCAAAATCATCTAACACAAAGCCTATTTTATAATAAAATGATGAATATCTCATGTAATTTATTGAATACCATACTGAAAATGAAACACGGAATGGTTGGATGCATACTGAAAGCATGGTTTCTACTGAATGTGTATGACCTTTGCACTGTCATGAAGTCCACCCATCATAAGTCGGGGACCGTCAGTATTGATTGGCCTAAGCCAGCCATGGCCCATCCCCAGAGCTGGGTAGGTCAATCCTACCCAAACCTCTTGTCTGCTACCCCGGAGGTATGGAACTACCACATCCAGTCTACCTCATAACAGTTTCACATCATAAAAAATGCTAACAACAAGTTTTCTTTCAGTTGTAATGGAATAAATTGAGAAAATTTATAATTAGTTTCCTATTGCTGCTGTGAAAAATTACTGCAAATTTAGTGGCCAGAAACAATACAAGTTTATTATCTTAACAGTTCTGAAGGTCAAAAATACAAAATGGGTCTCACTGTGCTAAAATCAAGGTGTCAGCAGGGCTGCATTTCTTCTGCAGGTTCCAGGAGAAAATCCATTTCCTTGCTTTTTCCACCTTCCAGAGACTGCCAGAATTCCTTAGCTTACGGCCTCCTTCCATCTTCAAAGCCAACAACTGCAGTAGCCTCTCTGTCTGTCGCTACATCTCTTTCTCTGACTGAGTTTTCTCCCTCTTTCAGTTATTAGGCCCTTTGTGACTACAGCGGGCCCACCCACATCAAAATCCTTAACTTGATCACATTTGCTCAGTCTTTTTTGCCATATAAAGTAACGTTCTCACAGGTTCTGAGGATTAGAACATAATCATTGGAACATAAACATCTTAGGGAATAGGGGAATGCATTATTCTGCCTACCACAATGTATATGAATCCAGGCTGTCTAGATTACAGACTTAAGTTATATAAAGGGAATATTCACATTTTTGTTTATGAATTATTTCTTTCAAAATATGAGAGCTTGATATTAAGTCATTGATAATGAGCTTATCTGTTCCTTCTGAATCTTTAAGTTAGATTGTGTACTTTTTTCCTTGAATGTAATCCCTGGCCTGATTCCTTCATATGTTTCTAAAAATTGGATTGACCTACTTATTTTCATAGGTCTAGCTGAATGTTAATTAGTGGGGGAGGAACGTGTTTAAACAACTATGAAAATATTTTTGTGAAAATTAACATTTCTGCTAACCTTAGGTCTAGCTGAATGTTTTGCCTCAAAATTAGTAGAGCGCTCTTCACCCCATCCCTGAAGTCACTTTCTTTTATTTTTCTATTTTTATCTTGGCTATAATCACTAAAGATATATCAATAATAGTTGCAATTACTTTCGCCTTCATTCATCTTCCAGCTCTCTCTCCACTGTTATATATATCTGCCCTCTTTTATTAAAGTCCACAGGGTAGCAATAGTGGAGGGATGTGTGTTTATGGTAATTATCTGTATGTCAAGAACTGTTAAGGGTCTGGAATTTTACCCTACTTGCAAGTTAATAAGCTAGTCTATTATCGTTTCATGGATGTTAGCAGAAGGCATAAAACTCCTGGATCAGAGGTAAAAGACTTTATTACCAATGTAGAGCAAGCAGCATGAGCATGGTGTTGGCGACAGTTCCACTTGTCCTCTAAGTCCCATGATGATGACATATGTAGGCCTAGAGGTTTCCTACACATGCAGTGGGTTGTATTGTAGAAGACTGCTATACAATACAACCCGCCATTTTATAGCAGCCTGTAAGAGAGCTTTTTTTGTCGGTGGTGGGGAGAGAAGTTACCTCATTCCTCGAGGTTGTTTACAAATACAACCTTGATACATAGCCCAGATAAAAAGAGATGAGGGCCTTGTATTTTTGGGCTACCGAGCAAGAACATATAGGGATGCTTAGTGCCCATGGCTTATTGCCTCTCCCAACACTGTACACCTTAGGCAACCTCCCTTTTCCCTCAGGTATCAGAAACAATAAGATGGCATTCTAATCCTCTATTTCCGAAGTGCTATTTTTGGGGCTGTTTTTTTACTTTGAGTGGTATCATTCTTCTTGTAATCCTTTGAATATAAATATTTCATGTAGATTTTCACTTTAATCTGTAAGAAAAACATCAGGGGCTTTATATGTATAAAACTGAGTGGTCTATGACTTCTAAGTTAAAGCTATCTTTGAACTACAACTGAGTGACAGTGAACTAAGTTATTAGGTCATGAATATTAGCAGCCTTTTAAACGGAAGGTGAAACAGCGTGATGTGTTGAACTGAAGCCCAAAGAAAGATTATGCAAAGAAGTGATTCTTACTCTTTTTGAGTCAAGAGTCTCTCCCTCCAGAAAATATATAAATGAAAACGCTCCTAAATTTTGTCTACAGCTTCAGAAAGTAGCTGGGCCCCCTGAATCCCATCCACAATAAAACTTCTGAGGCTAGTTAACAGATGGTTCAAAGGATATTTAAACAAATATCTTGAATAGTTTTCAATTGTCTTTTCCTTTTTTATAACGCAGAGATGGTCATCCAGTGGTCCCCAGTTCAAAGAGGTCTGCCATTTCAACTCCAAAGTCAACCAAAGCCAATGGTAAGGATATAGTCGTTTTATGACACAAGTACAGGTGGAGTATCCCTAATCCAAAAATCTGAAACTGTTTGAGTATTCACATGATGCTCAAAGGAAATTCTCACTGGAATATTTCAGATTTTGGATTTTTGGATTTGAGATGCTAAACTGGTAAATATGATGCAAATATTCCAAAAACAAACCAAAAAAAATCTGAAATTCAAAACACTTCTGGTCTCAAGATTTCAGACAAGGGATACTCAACCTGGAGTTATGGAGAAGTAACTGTGTTTTTTCCAAATAGCAAATTTGGATATTGTCATTAAAATGTTTTCATTGCCCTTCCAGAATGTTTTATAGAATCTTTCCTATGCTAGGAAAGCATCTCTAAAATTCAGTGTACAATAGAAAATAGTAGAACAGAGTGTACCATGGAATTTAGAGCCTGATAGACCTGAGTTTATAAGTCTTCTGCTCAGGAAGAGAACTGACAAATAAAAAACCAAAATTAAAAAAAAAAAACAAAAAAACGAGTGAGGTAAGTCCTGTGTGGCCTTAGCAAGTTACTTGAGCCGTATATAAGCCTCTATTTCCTATAAGAAAAATAAGAATATTATTAGTATCTACCTTGTAATGTTATAACAAGGTATAAATATAGTAGTACATGTGAAACATTTACCATGATGCTTGTCACATAGTAACTTAGCCATTTATTAAATTTCTCATTTGTACCAGGCACTCTTCTGGGCATTGTGGATATAGCAACAGACAAACAAAGCATCTGCCTTACATTCTAACATAATTATAGAAATAATAGTAAAGTAATAGTTGTGGCAGCAGTTGTCATTAATTTAATCCTGATTCTGAGCTCTGCATTTCTTCCAAGTGCTTTAGTCCTCACAACAATCCCATAAGATTAGTGTTACAATTATCCTCATTTTATAGAAAGGGAAACTGAGGCACAAAGAAGTTTCATAATTTACCCAAGCTCACAGAGTTAATAAAGAGTAGAGTCAGAGTTTAAACCCAGGAAGTCTGATTTCATACTCATTTATATTATCAGGCTAAATAAATATAGCTTTTATTGCTAGTGTTAATATAGTAAGAAGAATGTTAGGCACAGGGGAATGTGGTTGAACTTACTGTATTCAAAATGTAAATTCAGTACTTCGTACATAGCTAATCGTTTAGTTATCGGGCAGTAGTCTCTAAATACTAACAGTAGCTAAAAGAAACCATCATAGTTGTTTATCTTCTAAAAGCTAAAGCATGGGGGTACTTTTTGCTGTTGTGTATAGTTTTAGTTCACATTAGTGAACCAAACAATCAGAAGAGTATTTTTCTAGTGATCTCTAAGATGACTTTTGTAACTTTCTAAACTGAAAAGAGCAGCTGTGTCATGCTGCTGTTGTGAAGGCTGCCTGGTAATCTGTCTTTATGGGGTTCTCTGACTTGACTCTCGTAGAACTAATTTCTTTACAGGTTATAAAACTCATACAGTATCTGTCATAGGAACTCTCCTTCCATGGCAGGAATGTAAAATGGTACAATCAGTTTTGAAAACAGCTTGACAATTTCTTAAAAATTTAAACACATGCCTACAATATGATCCAGTCACTCCACTCATGCTTGTTTACTGAGAGGAAAGTAAGCTACGTACACAAAAACGTGGACAGAACTGTTTCTAGCAATTATCCTTGTAATAGCCAAAATTTGAAACAACTCAAATGTCCAAAAACTATTGAATGGATAAACCAGTTATAATATATCTAAACAATGGAAAACTACTCAGCAATAAAAAGGAATAGTCTGTTGGCATATGCAACAAAATAATTAAAATAACCTCAAAATAAGTATGTTGAGTGAAATAAGCCAGACCAAAAAAAAAGAATTCATACTGTATGATTCCATTTATACACAGTTGCAGACAATGCAAATTATAGTGACAGAAAGCAGATCAGTGGTTGCCTGGAGGCAAAGAGAGGAAGGAAGCAGCTAGGGGAACAGGAAGGAGAGATCACAAATAAAAAACTCTTATGTTTCATACTGTTCCAATGTGATTTTTTTGAACCAGTGGCTTATTATTGAAATAACACTTTGATTATTTTTCCTAGAAGTTTAATAATGTATTATATCTCTTACAAGTAATATTAAAAGACATTCTTGGACTCTTTGTAATATCATCTACAAAATTACAGAGATTTATCTATGATAATTTCACCTCAAACTTCATCTTTCTCAGCAGAATTATTTTTAAGTCATTCTCAAGTAGAAGTCCTTGAATATACTTACCTGTGTTTTTTCGTTCCTTTCTTTGTTTTCTTTTGAACGTTTCCAAACTCTACCATATCTTTCTAAATCTTTTGAAAATGTAATTTAATGAATCAAAAATGATGTTTAAATATGTGACTTTTTAACTGGAACAGAAACATAATCTACTCATTTTTAATATATATATTGAATTTTTGTACTGACAGCTAAGAGTTAAAATTACCATTTGGTTTAGAAATATATTAAAAGTCCTTTTCAGTTATATCCATAATTTGTTTTCCTGTGTTAAATTGGTCCTCTTTATGAAATGAGGTAAAAGGCTTGCTATCTTCCTTTAAATAGTCAAGGGAATATGGCTCAGTACCAGTGATGTCTCTCCCATTTAATTGGGTTAATTTATACTCAGTGTCTCATGCTTGAACCATTCAGTCCAAACTGAGCTTTTATGTGAACTATTTTCTTTTAAGAAATTAGCTTTTTCCTTGGGGTAAACCTTTCTTTAACATTTGATTTCATTTACCTGGTTTTAAGTCACTGAATATATGACCTCTTTTAGTGTACTAATAAAAATAACAGCATCCCCAGAAATGTGGGTTTTCTTTAATTATTTTGATGTCTCTATTGTGGTTTTTGCCTGGCTCATCCTCTTACTTCCTGTGTTGTCCTTTCAGGTCACCACAGTGTAGAGCCTTGTGGCCAGCCTGCCCTGACTCCTAATAATTCATTCTCCAAGGTAAGGAAAAGGCTGCCTTCTTTCTTTCGTGTGACACCTCCTTCTCTAAATAAGCTGCTTGTTTGTGTTTTGAATCAAACTGATTTCATATTTAAATATTTGTATTTTTTAGATACACGTGTTGATAATAAGGATATATTTTAGTGAACTAATAGGGCTTGCTAAGTAAATCACACAACATAGAGCCCTCATTCAAGTAACCCTACATCATTTGGCACACACTCGACTCTTAGATAAGCTAACCACTTAAATAAATCCCTTTAGCACTGGGATTTTTTAATTAATGGGCATAACTTTTTTGGTTGTTGCTTAGACCACAGGAAGAGAAGAATATAAGAGTAGAATTGCTCCTTTGGGTTATTGTCAGCCAGTAGTAACCCTCAGATATCAAATCTGTGCAACTTGTGAGGAAGAACAAAAGTAGCAAAAGAAATATGTTTGCTTGCTTTTGAAAGACTTAGAAAATACTTCACCATATAATAAAATGAGAGAGCTTAAGTCACTTAAGATTAATGCAAAGAAATCTTGGGGTGATTTAACAAAACTGTTTTGATGCATAGTTAAATTCCACTTCATGCTTCCTTTGAGTCTACTTGTATGTCCATTTGTTTGGCTAACATTCCTTATTATGACTTTCTTTGTGGAACATAAGATACATTTCTAAAATGATCACAGCTGGATCTTCATTTCATGGAATTGTTTTATCCCACACGTACCCCTTACAATCTATTCTGAACCTCATGACTAAATGGCTTTCCATGTGAAATGCAGGGCTGAGGGACTGCTCTCCTAATATTCTGAAAATCTTATCTCAACATGACTTGGCTTTAATGTAAGGGGAGAAAAATAATTTAGTGAGCAGAAACCCAAAAATCTATGCCTCTTATCTCACTGTGTTATCTCACGCTTGTGACTTGGTTTAACAAGTCCTGAAAAATATTACAGCAGAAGAATTTTAAAGCAGAAATGATTAGGGCACAAAAACAAAAATTTCTAGATATTTGTATGTGTTGGAATTGAGCTACAACAACACGCACTATTCTGTTTATTCAAAAATCTTCCATTTCACATAGCTGAAGCAACTGAATTTTCATCTGTTTCTAGTGTTATTTGTGTTGTATAGCACTTATTGTCTTTTTAAATATCAGCGGTTGTTGAAAGAAAAAAGGATAGAGTTTCTGTTAAATTAGCATAAAACCCTAGAAACCAGGACTTTTGCTGTTTATGGCTGCCAGCATTTTGTTGTTGAAGTTAAAATCTGCCAAGAAGTCTCTCAAATAGTATTCTGTCCTCAAATGCTAATGTCTATGAATATCTCACTTAGAATGGAATTTCATAATCTCATGAAGCTTTTGATATTATGTTACCACTGTTTGTAAAAATATATTTCTGTTGCATCTACCATGAGTACTTTTTATCTTAATGAAAGGAGTAAAACCTTCAGAATAAACCATAACCTTTTATTTGTGTAAAATTATTTTGATTTATTCTCATTTAATTTTGCATTTTTTCCAAATCATTTTTCTTTCAATAGGCTATGCTCCGTGAAGTGCTTCACAATTTACCATTGCATTAGAAAATTACATTCTATTCAATAATTATTTTATAGTTATGAGTCTGTTGTTTTTCTTAAGTTCACATAGGACTTAGAATAGAATTGAAAATCTATATACCTAACAGATGGTCAGGTTGCTAAATTGGAGTCTATATCCATGTAACAGCCTCATAAATACTTTAAAAATTTATTTTCGCCGGGCGTGGTGGCTCATGCCTGTAATCCTAGCTCTCTGGGAGGCCAAGGTGGGTGGATTGTTTGAGCTCAGGAGTTCGAAACCAGCCTGAGCAAGAGCAAGACCCCGTCTCTACTAAAAATAGAA